GAATCCAAACTGCGCCGCGTCCTCGCACCCAAGGACAAAAACATGTCCATCCGTCCTTCCACCGCCGCATCGGCTATTCCATCCAAACCCGTCGGCTCCCAAGCCGCCGATACACCGTTGACATCGCCTCTTCCTACGAACGTGCGTCCGCCAAACCCACGACGCAACACACCGACTACACCGCGCTACTACGCTGTTACTGCGAATGCGACGGGTCCGGAAGCGGGTGCGGCGCACAAAGAGGAGGCGAAGGAGAAGGAGAAGGAACATGAGAAGGAGAGGCCGAGGTCCGCGATGGGTCCTGAGGCGGCGGCGAAATCGAAGAGTCGGTTGAGTTGGGGTGCTACGTAAGTTCATCTATATGTTGTGAGATGATTTGATGGTGAATGTGTGCTAATGTGACGCAGGAATAAGCTGAAGCGACGATCATTGTACTAATGATAACGATGATGCGAAACGGGGAATGGGAAATGCGATGTGTGTGCATGTTTGTTATGGCGTTCAAAATGGTGGTTTTGCGAATATCCTGATATACGAGTTTAATGCTATCCGATGAAATACGCTCGGTAGATGGGGTGGTGGGTTTTGGTTGGGTCTTTTTGGCATTTGCAATGGGCAATGGGCGTTTTGTTAGATTTGGTTATGCATTCGTTTGCGGACTTGGGGGTTGTTGTTTTAGCGGTTTTAGTAATGAAGATATTTACATTTCATGATGATGGTCTCGGGTGCGCCTGCGTGATGGAGGTGGGAGGTTTCCCTGTTTGGTATGGTTTGTTGTTGGTTGACCCCACTTTGCACGTGAGCAGTGTGGCACAGTTCTCGAGCACTTCTTTTCTGGTGTCGCTGCCTGCTTTGGATTGACACACCAACAAAGGTTATCGGCTCTTACGCCCTCGAACATATGAACTTCGGTTTCCAACGCTCACACGCTGGCTTCACATCATCACACCGTCGCTCTTGGCACCTCCTCACTCTCTATCCGGCGCGCGATATATTGAGCCTATCCCACCTTCCGGTCGTCCACGGCACTCGAAACCACTAAACACACGCGGCTCACTGTTCACCTACCAACGGGTTCACAAGCCTAGGGAGCGATCTGGGGTTCAAGATTACGTCTCTTGATTGTAACGATTTGCCAAGCGGCGTTGTCATTTGCAACGAGAATTAAGTGCGCCTTTGACTCAGACTGGTACCTGATCACCTCAAAGCTATCGCAATCATACCATATACCAAAGGTGTTGTGCATTGCCAACATGCAGCGCGACGACAATCTACCTCTGAACGAGATATACCGCACGCCAGAGGCTCTTCATGAAGAGGTTGAGAAGATTCTCGATCTGGCACTCTACAAGGTCCCAGAGAGCGCGCCACTCAGACTTCGTTTCATTTCGCCTATTTCCTTCGATAAATGGCTTGCAGACGACAACTACAATGAGTACCGACTCTCGTTTCCCTGGGAACATATCGATGGCTTGCCATACATTACTGTTTCCTACTGCTGGAAGCATACACAGTCTATGAGAGGTCTTTCACCGCTACCGCATTATCAAATCTCGGACGGGTTGAAAGCAGGCGAGCCTGCGCCTATCAGCTGTCCAAACTTGGTTTTTCATCGCGCAATGCTATTTGCTAGATCTCGCAGCTGTATGTACGTTTGGATTGATCAAGAATGCATCGATCAAACAGATCCCACAGATATCCAGGCACATCTGAAAGTCATGCATCGGGTGTACAAAGAGAGCGAGTGGACGGTGGCGCCACTGTCTCATCCGATAACGGATCATCGTTCTTTGGAACAGCTGATTACATACCTTTATCACGACTATAGACTCGTGGGGAATGCTAGTTGGGGAAGGACTAAATATTCTCTAGTAAGTAACGACTATGTCAGTACGTTCGAAGAGCGAGTCCAGGAGGCCACCGAACTGCTTATGTCTATTACACAAGATGCTTGGTTCCGCCGAACCTGGACATTCCAGGAAAAAAGGTGCTCCTGGGCATTATTTCTGCTTATTCCTATCGAGGTGTCTTCCAAGGTATCGGAAAACGTGTACCTCCATATGATAGGCAAAGATCTCTGTTTTGACACCGCATACTTCAACAACTTCTCCCGCAATCACGAACTGGACATGGGCATGGTGGCCCATGTTAATAGCGAGGTGAGGTGGACCATGCTGGATAGCACACAATTCTACGACTATTTTGCTACTTCCTGGGACTACGCCTCATTCGGCAATTGGGGCTGTTATTCAATATTCAGATTCATTCAGGAATGCGATAACCAGGTGGTGGCAGACCGCGTAGCAATCTTCGGACACGTTTGCCGATTTCGGAATCGACTCGCCTCGGACATGCTGGACGGCGCCGCATTTAGCCTCAGCGCATGCATTCTCGCTTTGCTGTTGGGAAACATGGACGTCACACGCGATGGACGTCTGAAACTAGTGGGTGAGATGTGGGCAAAGCTCGAAGAGCGCAGCAAGGTCCAAACGGCCGCGCCGAATATCGCAGCGTGGATGATGGTTTTGCTCGTGAATGGTCCTTGAGGCAGGTAACGAGTGCGGTATCGCCATTTGCTGGACTGATTGGCTGTACCTACTGTTTCATAGAGTCTTTCACACAGTTGGAGAACGCTACGCATCGCGACGGGTCGTATGCCAGTTATCAGCACAAGCGACCTGTTCAAAAGAGCAATTACAGTCGTCTCTCCTCTAAACCATATAGTCATGGGATGAATTGAGACCAGCAATATCGACGAGGAAGTCACTTTCCCTTAGTGGATCGTTCCAACTTGAGTTTTCTTGATACTAGAAGAGGCGTGTTGGCAAGGTTCAAGCAATGGGTCCAGCTTGCTTGCTGCCATCAATGGCCAAGAGGTGCAGGTTTATTGAATCAGTGGAGGAGGCTATTTTTCTTCATTCATTCCTCGTTTACACTCTACCTCCGCTCTCTCCTTAGAAGCCCCAAAACGCAACCAACGCGCCCCCATCCCACGGATCTGAGGAGACATGCGACCCAACAGCCACACGCCCCTCCCAATCGCGCTAGCGACGCCACTGTGCCCCTCGTCCCGCCGGCTCATCATCAACCCCACTTTGCGTCACTCTGTCATTGGACGCGCGTGCCCTTCGCAGCCCGACAACATGCGTGATAGACTATGCATGGAGGACCATGGCACCTGCAGCCTTTCTGTTGACGATTGGACCACTGTGCCCTCAACAGATGTGGCTTATTGACGTGTCAACGCCACGGCTCACCGGAGTCTGGGCACTTTGGGGGCCAATTGAGGCTCTGTTGAGCGTTGAGGTTGGGGTAGGTTGTCACGATGGGAATGGGGAGGGTAAGGTTAAGGAATGACTGGTATTTTACTAACTACAACTACCAAGGAGCGACGTAACTAGAAAGCAAAAAGAGTAACAAAAGCTCGCAGTAACGAGTGTACTAATCAGCAGCGACAAGAGTGTAATGACCGACATGCGTTACTCGAGAAAACATTCGTAAGGCTGGGAATTAGGACGTAGATCAACTAGAGGTTCAACGGGTTGCGACCCCCATGACCCCTCTTGGCATGATCGCGAAGCTTGTCTGCGCGAGAAAACGTCCTGGGACAATCCACCATAGGGCATCTGTATCTGGCAGGCTCGTGAATCATCATGTGGCGACGATACTCTCCGCCGCGACCAAAGGTTGCTTGACATCCATGTGGACAGCGGATGCGATCTGCTGCAGCAGGAGCAGGAGCAGGAGCAGGGATCGGGGCTGGCGGGGCTGAGACCATTGCTGGATAGGGCGCTGGGTTCAACTGAGCGCCGTCTGGTATGGACACGTCTAGCTGATCAAAGCTCTGGATGCTGTTGAAGTCCCAGACGGGTGCCATCGAGGCCATTGGGAAGACGGGTTCTGTTGCAGTTCCATCGTATGGAAAGTTCAACGGGTCGTAGAAACCAGCGTCGAGATTGAGCCCTCCAGGACGGTAGACATTGGCGGTGGCCTGGTTCCAGGGGTTGTTTTGACAAGGGTAGTGAGGCCCAGCGTGGTGTTCTGCCTGCGCATGTGGAAACGTTTCATTGGCCCGTGCAATCTGCTGGGGAAAGGGGGCGTAGCTGTGACCGGCGACTGGCTGATGGAAGGGCACGAAGAACGTTCCCCACCAATCGTTGTCATTGCGGACGCCGCGCACCCGAGTCTGGGAGGCAGACCTGCATGATGTTAAAAAAAAAAGTCACTTACCCAAACTCTTGGTGGTCGTTGTCGTCGTGGTTTTTTTCAAATGCTGGGGAGTCGTGGGAGTCGCGTTCGGAGGTCGTTGTTGAAATCTGTGGCGACATCGTGGTAATGCGGTGGCTAGCAGTCTGGAGATCAGCTTTTTTCTGGATGATGGTGGGTAGTGGGTACCTAGGGTATCGCTGAGTGAGTGGAAGATAGTCGATGTAGCAGTGAACAGGCTAACGACAGATATCCGTGACAGGCGGAATCGGGGAGTGCGACTACTTGTAAGGCTAGATGTGAGATCGACTACAGAATCAGTGGCACACAGCCTTCGTGCCCTTTGAGGTCAGTGCGCCTAAGTTGCTAGTCCCATGTAGTACGTCAGACGGAAAAATGGCTTGGCGCCTGCAGCCTCAAATCAAATGCAAACACGAGTTGAAGGCCTACTGATGGCCTGCGAAAGAAGCCAAAATGACACTCGAGAAGTTCGCGTGCGATATTTGTTCCAAGCCAATTGATACACGAGGAAAGCTGAAGTAAGCTAATGGCCTGGGCCGTTATGAAACAAGTCATGACTAACGCATAGGAGTAAGCATCTGAAAACACATACGAAGCCTTACAAATGCCAGACGTGTACAAGAGGTTTTGCTTCTCGTCTGGACCTCGAACGTCACATCAAATCTCAACACCGTGCGGGTCATGAACAGTACCGTTGCCATGTTGAGCGATGTTATTTTGCTTCAAATCGAAAGGACAATCTCAGGAGGCACCAAAAGCAGAAGCATTCTGCCATGCTCCTTGGCTACCCCGATGGAAACAATGACACAAACCGTTCGCCAGAGCAACAGTCCGATGTCCTCGGGACTACACAGCTATACAATGTGTCAAACTTCATGCGAGTCGCCGCTTCAGGAGATCTAGACAGGCTGGAAACCTTTCTAGATTCAGGCTTGGAGATTGAGGCGAGGGCAGAGGACCAATCCACAGTCTTGCACTGCGCCGCTAGAGCTGGCCAAGCCGCGGCAGTCAATCATCTTCTTACGAAAGGAGCAAGTGTGAACGTAAGGAACGGCAATCGTAGGCTACCGATGCATGAGGCTATTCTGAGTAACAGTCCGGAGACACTGAAGTGTTTCCTTGAGCGCATGACGCAGAAAGATCTTCATGCTTCGGAAAAGGAAATTGAAAGCTACTTGGCACGATCGGGCAATCCTGATGTTATTGACGTATACATAGTGCGATTGGGAAGCGATTTCACCCAAAGAGATGTCTCGAAGAAAATCAGCTTCGCAGTACGTACCGGTCACTACTCGCTCGTTACCGCCTTGCTGGATGATCCAGACGTCAATGGAAACGATATAATTACGCATAACTGGCCGAGATTCGCCCCGATACATCTAGCAGCTATGCTCGGACGAACAAAAGTTATGGATTGCCTCATCGCTTGCGATAGCATCAGTGTTAACTTGAGAGATAGCATCTCTAGACAAGCGCTGCACATAGCCGCTTTATACGGACACAAAGCTATCGTGAAGCAGCTGATTGGGCATTCGAGTGTTGATATCAGTCATCAAGACGAGCGCGGGAGGACTCCTCTACACTTTGCAGCCTCCAATGGACACTATGCAATCGTAGCGCAGTTGATCCGCCATCCAGGCGTTAACGTCAATTGTCAAGACAAAGAAGCGGCCAAACCCATACACTATGCAGCCTCTAATGGACACTGGGAAGCAGCTTCTTTGCTTCTCAAACACTCGGAGTCGATGGAAGACGGTCGTTGCAGATCATCTGATGTCCCACCAATAAGTCTCACGTTCACCAAAGAAGGTTTCCTTCGCACACTTCTTGAGCATCCAGACTTTGGAGGCCCGAACGAAATCCTGCCCGGAACGCATAACACTATTCTTCATGTCGCTGCTAGAAAGGGCGACCGCGAAGTCATCGAAGACCTGCTAGCTTATCCAGACATCGACGTGGACGTACGCGAAGGATATGGCCTTACTCCTCTGATGACTGCTGCCAAACACGGCAAACTGGAAGCAGTGAGATCAATCCTCCAACACAAAGACATCGATGTAAACCAGACGGACGATTCTCAGAGGCCATGGACGGCGTTGCAATGGGCAAAACAAAAGAAGCACCACAAGATCGTCGATCTCCTCCTCTCCCATGGCGCCATCGCCCATACCGCCAACGCACCAAGAACCGTACCATCAATCGCACACATCGACAACTCGCAAGGCACCACTTTGCAACCTGACCACGAAACTCACTTCGATTCGTTCGACGACCTTATGGACGGCGCACCAACCGAAGCTTGGGAAGATTTTCTTGCCATGGAGGAAGGAATGGAGGAATGAAGACTGTTTCTATCGCGCGTTGTGTTATCTCGGATGCCGTGATCACAGTTTTCACTAGTAACATGTCAGAAGAGCGTTCTTTTCCTTCCAAAACATATCTTGGTAGTCTTTAGTAAAGCTTAGGAACCTCTTGTCTCCTAAGAAATTATTTCTTGTCTAAAACAGTCCACTGCTGTTAGCTCTCAGCTTGAGATCACCGACAATACCAACGTCACACGCAATGTGCCTTGGAATTGCAAATCTCGGGCTTCGCATTGCACTTCTTGGTGCCCGCTAAATGCTATCACATTGTAATTCATTGAGCATTACTCTACACCCTATCTAAAAGCTACCCACTCCTCTTATACCCACTCCTACTCCTCAACACCTCTCCATACCTCGCCAACACAAACGGTATACACGCACCCAGGATACTCAAACACCCCAACAACGTACACGCCCACTGCGGCCCTAATCTCCGGAACATCTGGACCGCAAAAAGAGGAAAAGTACCGCCGAGTACATATCGCAATATAGCATTCGAAGCCATAGCACTGGCACTATACAACGGTCCATAGGTATCGGTAATATACATCATACACGCCATAAATATAAGCATGTTACCCATACCAAAGAAAGCTTCAGCGATGGTCGGTACAATCCAATGGACGCGGTAAGCAGCCGACCAGCCGAAGAGGAAGAGGCCGATTGTGAGAATAGGGCCACCGGCGAATGCTAGGGGTAGACGCTTTTCAGGTGCGAGTCGTGATGTTGCGAAAGCCGGTGCTGGAGCCTTCTCTGCAATCGCTTTACGTACGCGAGGCAGGTAGTAAAGTTTGCTAAACGAGACGATGCAGATGGTAGCGACGATGACGCCGACACCCAGACCGAGGAACGTGTAGCCTGTGGAGAGACTGTCGAAACCGTATTCTGTTGCAAAGACGTATGGGAAGGCGGCGAAGAAGGCGTATAGCAGGCCGAAGTTGAAAGCGCTGTATGTGTTGAAGGTCGCGACGATCGGCTCGGTGAGCAGCATATGCATCGGCCGCGTGAGTGTCTTCGTGGCATATGTGCTCACAATCTTCGGCAACGACATGTCTTCAGTCGGCGATCGCGGTAGAGGAAGATTCCGCTTCTTCGCGCGCTGACGCAGGAGGACGGGCTTATACGACTCTTTGTAAAACGGTGCAGGCGCAATGACAAGCACAATAGTAAAAAAGAGTATCAACCAAGACGTCCAGCGCCAGTCCCGTGTCTGTGTTACCGCAGCACCTAGAATCGGTCCTAGAGCTGGACCCATGAATGGCGTTGCGACATACAGCGACATGGGACCCGAACGCTTCTCAGGCGGCCAGATGTCGCTCAAGGTGCCTGATCCCATGCTCAAGCTGGGAGCAGCGAAGAAACCAGCCCAGAACCTCAGCACTACCAGACTCGCCATACTCTGCGCGAACCCCGTTCCGAGGATGAAGAGCGCGAAGATGGGCAGGCTGATGAAGATGAGGGGTCGTCGTCCGAATGTCTCGCTCAGAGGCGCGGCGAATGGTCCGCCAAAGGCCAGCCCGAGGGCGTATATGGAGTATGCGAAGGTTGCGATGAGTTGGGTGGAGTGGAGCTCTGATGCTGATTGTTCGATGGCAGGTGTGAAGACGGATGATGCGAAGGTTCCTACAAATGCGATGCCTGATATGGTGTATGTTTGGTACCATTTTCGCGCTGCACTCCAGTTATGAGGGTTCAGAGGATCATCTGGACCGTCCCACTCCAGCGCGGAAGGGCGATCTTGCGACGAAGCATCAGGAGCGTTTGGTGTTGCTTCTTGGCCAGCATTCGGTGGAAAGCCTTTCTCAGGGTCGATGCCTGGATTGAAGTCTGCTGTCGTCGACGGCTGGCGACTTTTGTCATGGTCCTTTTCGATGTTGACAGGACTTGGTGGTCTTGTCGATGCTGCTGTCGTATTCGACCAGGAAACGGGTCGTGAAGCATTCGGAAGCGCCATGCCGTGTGCTTTTCACCAGACTGTAACTTGGGAAGCAACAGCTGGCAAAATTTCGACAGAACTTTCGCAGGACATGACAGAGGCGCTCGCGCCACGATCTTAGTATGACCCACCATGATGAGATTCCGATAAGCAGATGTTCTGAACAGACGGCATGATCGCCGCTTGTGTGTTAGTTTGGCGTTGATCAGATATGGACAAAGAGGTCTACGATCAGGATTGGCAGGTATTGAATACGTGCATGGACGATCCTGGCTCAGATCTTTCCAAGAATCGGCATGGTGAGCTTGTTCGAGATCAAGATGCGGCTGAAATTGTGGATCGTGTGAAGCTAAAGTTCGGGACCGTGCCGGGCGCTACACTGGCGAGTCGAGCATGATGACGTCCTTTCTTCGATCTCAACATTTTGGAGTTACTCATAATGGTCATAAGAATACCAGGTGGATTCTTAATGTGCGTAGAGAAATGCGCTCACAGGCACGAAGGCTGGTTATCTTTAGGTCGCCGAGCAGCGCGCAAACACGTACCTACCGAGCTGGCTTCCAGTCCAGCCAGAGAGCTGGGAACGCGATGACGACGTACATGTCAAAGGCCGGAATCCTAGCTCTTGTCGCGCTCTGATGAAATCTGCAGCATAGTTTCGAACAGCGTGTCGCGAATCAGCAGCGCATGTCACAGCGGTCTGAGGTGGTGGTCGCCCTGACTCCTCGCCGAAGTGATCCTGCCTGAGCCCCGTAGACGCGTTCACACCCTACCCACCTAGAATCGCGGACTATCGCAACAAGAAGAAAAGTTACACCGGGGGTGGGGAGCGAAGGATAGGGAGGGAATAAAGGCTCGCAACCATTGCCAAAAGACATCGCTGGAGCCTGAGGCCATCCTTAGATCCTGCAGTACTGCGCCCGCTAATCGCAGGTCCGACCCAGCCACTCGCGTCAAAACACCAACACCACCAACACTCCCCCACGCGTCCGTAGAGGCTCATCTACCACGACGCTCACGATGGATGAAGGCAAGATTGCGAAAACTTTTGACTGAGCCACTGCATCGCCTGCGTAATCGCAAACTTGCGCAAGCAGCACGAGAACGCGACGAGCATGTATAACTACGCGCTGTTTCGTCTCGGGATAGAAGTCATCACCACTCAGCGATAGCAACGACTCAACTTCAATCTACCTTTGCGCATTCGTGATTTACACGATACGCTGTCATCATAACAACTTCGTATCCGCCATGTCATCAGTCCTATCGCTCGAGATCGCGCGCGCGCTCTTCCCAGCTCTCACCAAGGACGCGTCGCCCAAATCATCCCCAACCGAACCCATCCCTTCACACACCAAGGCCAACGCGAAATCTCAGATCAAGATCAACGTTGTTGAAGACGTCAAGTTCCCGATTACGACACAACCGTTGCGATCATTACTATGTCTCCCTACGACAGCGATGCAGACCCAAGCACACAGTCCAAACTTCCCCAGTGGAGGTATCTGGCATGCTGCACCGCTGCCCCATGTTGGTCTAGCCAGTTTTCAGCGACGACGAAGAGGATAATCGGAGTTTGAGCAAGTTGAAAGGAGAATATCGAGAGCATACCAGCGGACATGTCTTCAGCATGAGGTCAGGGCGTTGAATTCAGAGCGCAACACCTGGAGCGATCATCCTTGACTGCACCGGAACGGATCAGTGGTAGATAGATACGTGCAAAGGGCCAAGAACTCAGACATGGAGAGAAGCAGGGTCTTCCAAGCCAAATCGCAATGCACGCAGCAGGCTTGCTGATGGGGTCGATTACGGGATAGCGTGGAGAACCTGAGAGAACGTATCAAGTTATCCCAGCTCAAATGCAAGGAGGAAAGTCCAGTTGCGAAAATCAGAGTTTAGATGAATATGTTGCACCACAATGCCAAACAAATGCTATTGCCTCGCGCCTAGAAAGGCAAGAAAAAGAAAACCACTAAACAGTGGTCAAACACACACTAAATAGACTTTAAAATCATACACTACCACCATCTAACCACCACCTGTTCGCTCCCTCACATCCCCCTAAGCCCCCATCCACACCTACACCACTTCTTACTGCACATCAAGCACATTCTTCAACTGCACAATCAACTTCCACTCATCCTGACTAACATCGCTCCTAAAGTACTCCTTGAGCGTATCAATACTCTTTCTGCTAATAGCAGAGTAGAGGATATCGTCTTCTTCCAAGTGGCGACCGTACATGGGCTGGTTTGAGCCTTCGATTTTGACGGCAACGGAGGGCTGGCCTCGCTTGCAGATTTGCATGGGTTTGTGGTCGCGCTCGATGGAGGTGCTGTTGAAAGGATTAGTAAAGGTGGTAAGGTGACATGGGAGGGAGGGGAAAGGTATGAGAGAACTTACACTCTTCCTAGGTGGACGAGTTCTTTGGCACCGGTGGTGGCGTTCTTCTTGACGGCGCAGATGGGCGTTGTCATTCGGAGTGCGCCTTCAGTTACATCCACACCAATGATAATGGGGTCCTTCTTGTTGAAGACAGCGACGGGCTTGAGTACGCAGGGGAAGACGGCCAACATCTTTGAATCCTCCTTCCGCTGCTCCTCGAGCTGCTTCATGTGCGCTGTGAACTTGTCGAACAAGTGGTAGATGATGTCGGCTTCGAAAATCTTGACACCGATTTCCTCTGCGTACGCTTTGGCGTCCTTGTCGACTTTAACGTCGAAACACAGCATGACAGCGTATTCCTTGGCCTTTTCTAACATAATACCTGCACGAAGAACGTCCTTTCTGAAGACAGGACCGATGGAGATGGTGGCGACAGGAATCTTCGATACACGCAGGAACTCAAGGAGCGCTTCGAGCGAACCAAGGGTAGACGCTTGTACGGAGACACCACGACCAGTCTTGGAAACCTTGCTGAGCAAATGGGCTAGATCACCCATGACCTCGTCCATGAGATCCTCCTCATCGTCATTCGGACCGACGACAAGTAGACGCGAACCGGCGATGGCTTGGTCAAGTCCATCGGCGGCGATCTTGA